CTTTACTACCATAAGTAATCCCATAGGGCTAGATTGTGACTTTGTGGTTGTCTGCATTGTTACGTTGCCCCTAGAGCAGTCCAGAAAACAGATTATGACCCCAGGAGTCACAGTCCCCTCCTGGTCTCCTCTCTACTTCAAAAAGGGAATAAACTGCACCAGGTCTATACTCAGTGCAGCGTATGCATCACAGTGCACCAGTGCAGCCACATGGCTGGCCACACTGAGGGTGGGGAAGCCAGGGCTCTTCCCCTTTCCACCAACCTGCGTAGGGAGGGGGTTGTCCAGCAGTGTGGTGCCTGCTTCCTTGCCCACAGTGCTGCTTGTCATACTGCTAGTTAGCCATGCCATGATTTGGCATAGAGAAATCAATGGGCCTACTTGTGGTAGTAAGCACTCTGCTCAGTAGTGTTAGTGGAATCAGGCCCTTAATTTACAGTGGATTTAGAAGTCATCAGCCCAGTACTTTTGTAATCCTCAAAGGGAGTTTTCCCTGAGTATGGACTACAGGATTAGGCCCACAGTCTTCTCTCAGTGGCTGGGTATCAAAAGGCAGAATAAATGGTCTTAAAGTAATACTGCTAGGCTTTTTGAGCCCCAGATTTTACATGCTTTTAACACTGCATATTATAATAAAAACCACCTTTTTGTTAGGGCTATGTTAAGTATTCTCAATGAAAACCGAAAACATAGGTCCAATTCCCACAAATTCCTTTGGATGGCACTCCATGCAATTTCAGCTGTCTCTGTCCATGCAAAGGTGTTGGCAGCATCAGGCCCTGAGATATTTGAGATTTTTGTATTTTGTTTCAATTTTCTGAAATCAGTCCAATTTGGCAAAACAGCCAAAGTCCTGCAAAATGTTAGGTATTTTGCTTAAAAAGATAGAGGAAGTGAAAATAGTAAAATTTTCACTCTGAAATGGCCATATAATTAAACAAAAACCTTGACATTTTCTAAATTGTGGAATTTTGTTCTTACAAAAATAAACATTTTCACATTAAAAACATGAAATTTAGCAGGTTCTGGTACAAAAAACTCATATTATGAAAAAAACCATGGAAAGTGAGATTATGGAGCCACAAAATAACTTCTTTTTTGTGGCAAAATTTTGCCCCCCAAAAATCTGCACAGCCCTCCTCCTTATAAGATCTTACTGTGACATATAGTACCTTTCATATGGGCATATACCAAAGTGATTTATGGACTGGGCCAAGTTCTGTGCTGACTTGTGCCCCTTAAAACACCCTTTATTTTAGTGGAACTGTACATGTGTAAGTCAGAGTAGTATTTGGCCACTGTGTTTATGGAGATGACTTCATCTACTTCTGGTCTGGAACACAGCAGTCATGTGCCATCAGCACTAAACAACTGTTTGTAGAATTGAAACTGCAAGAAGAATGTACACTAGCAGAATGGAATGTAATTACCCACACTGAAATTTGGCCAGGACAGCAGGGTTAAGAATTGTGAAAAATATCATAGGACTTTTAACAACCACAATGGTCAGGACTTTGGTTTTCATTTCATTCAAAAAATAGCACTTTCCCAAGCACAGTTCCTTCTACCACCATGCTAGGCATTGACTCGCTATGGACTCAGAAGGAAGAGTGTGCTGTCTGCTGAATCACTATCACCAGTTCCTGCAGTACATACATTTTCCTTGAAAGGCTCATCATTAAGGTCTCTCTTCTGCAATCAGATCTGTGCAGGCAGTCTCTTGCACCCATGTGGAGCCCTATAGACTTCTGTGGAACTCAGTGCAGGCACTGAAGTCCATTTGTGCTGATCTGATTACAGGAGTGAGATGTAAGTGTGAAATTCACTATGTTATGGAGGGCTAACTGCCATTCTGTACCCCTGTGTACTGCAGAGGGGAGTCTTCTCATCATCTTGGAATAGGCCATCTTAGAGAGTTCTGGGGATGGGAAAGTGAATACACAGATTAGTTTCCAAAAAGGGATGTGGAGAAGCTACATAGGAGCTTTTGACCTGTCAGTAGATTAGGGATGAATTTAATTCCCCTCACTCCATGTGTGTGCCCTGCATATAGCACGATTATTCAGGCATTATGCAGTGATGGGTGAATTTCACCCTAAAGAACCTGGTGGATTATAACTCAGAACCTTATCCTGCAAACACCTATGCATGTGAGAACTTCACCCTTATGAGTACTCCCATTGACAAAGGGATTACTGTAAAATTAGTCAGGTGTGTTGTTGAATCCAATCCTCGTATTACCATGTAAGGTTTGATTTTTTTGTTTGTACCTTAGTATACCTTTTAAAACTGTCTCTGAGCGTGATATAGTTAAATAACGTAGTTCTTTATTTTGTATAAAGCCAACACATAAAAAGTACAGTTGGAGCCCGCATGCACAATTTATTTCATAGGACCTACACTGTGTGCAGTCATTTTTAACAAATACATTTGATGCTGCAGTGGTGTAGTAAAAAATAAACAATTACTATGTGGTTAGAATCAAGAGGGCATTTACTAT